AGATTGAAAAGTGAAAATAATACAGTGAAATAAGATTGAGTCTAGTGTAAACAATTATCATTAGAATAAAAGTATAGAGTAATAAAAGTTAAATTAGCTTCTAATTTGAGACTCAGCTCGTTTTTGTCTGTGTTTTGACTGAATCTGCTGAGTTCTTGTGTGTCCAATAGTTTTTGTTTGTTTTTATTTTTGATTTGTTTTTTGTTTGTTTATTTACTTTATTTGTGTTTTTTATTTTTTCCCAGGATAGAGGATAAAATCCACTGATATTGATTTGATGATTATGAGTTTAATGCATACATTTTCTTTGTTTTTAATAATTTTTAAAAGTTTTTTTTTAGAATTTTTTTTTTTTTCTTTTTCCACTTTATTGATTGATTGATTTGAGTGATCACATGTGATTATGTGATCAAAGGGGAGGGTGTTAGTATTAGATAGCAATATGGCCTACGTGCAGGACTGTACAAGGACTCCATGTTATGACTATGATGTGACTGTCTCTTTGTGACACGTATGTCTTTCGATGTGTGACGTGACAATGACTATATAAACTGTGTACTGCCTTTATTCTGTCTGAGAGAAAGAAACAGAGGAAACCAGTGGAACTTGAGAGAAACTTAAATAAACTTCCAGAGTTTGGCACACCACGATCCGTCTCTGTCTGCTTGAATCCTGACATTCTTATGGATAAATGGGTGGTGTAATTAACGCGAGTCGAAACGATAATTTTGACAGCCTTAATATATACACAAACGGTTGTTGGTGTTATCATCACTCTCTTTACACAACCAAAACTTGGGGCTTCACAAACTGAATGCGCATTTCGCGCATGCGCAAAACGCAACGAAATACTTTGCCTGAAGTCGACGGTGCGGTCTCGTGGAACGTGAAGAGAGGACTCTTCTGAATGTACGGTAAGTGTTAAGACACGTTGTTCATTGTTATAAAGGTATAAAGCTAAAGAAGTGTGTTAAGAACGAGTACACATTCGACTATATTATCTTATAAAACTCGTGTGTTCGACCAGCTCAGCGGTGAATGCAGTGACTGTGGCCGTGTTCAGAGCCGCTCTCCCGGAGGCCTGAGAGAGCTCTGTCCGGCCTCCGGGAGTTTATTGAGGACAGCGGTGAATGTAGCTGTTAGTAGTAACAGTAACTGTAGCCGTGTTCAGAGCCATATTCCCGGCCCTAACTACGCGGGCCGCCGCCGCAAGGAAGCTCGGAATTACATATATATGTGATATATATGTGATTGCTCCGTGTGTGATAACTTTCTGTAAAGCATGGAACTGCTGCAGGAGCAGGGACGAGGCGCTCAGAGCAGACTGCTTCGAAAGAACCGAAGGAAAAGCAGTTTGGGCTCATGGCAGAGCTTGATGTACAGGAGACTGTGGAATATCTAACATATATCATTTGTTTTGCACTGTTCCTGTCTTTGTTTGAGCGCTAAGACTTTCACTTTTATTACTGTACTTTTTCATCTCATTTGTCACTGTTGTCTTTCTGTTCATTTTTTTTGTTTTTTTTTATTAAGTCCATTGCTTAATAATGTTATTGAGTGAATCTAGACCTCCTTTAAACACATTTGAGCAAAAATCATGTGATATTGTTTTATATATATTGATTATTCTTTTTTTTGCTTACAGCGTGTTGCAGTCCGACAACAAGAAATAGTCAATTCTGCCCCACCTGTGGAAAATGTCAAAGCGCGCTGGCCAGCACTTTATACAGAGAGACAGGTGTGTACACATTTTTTACATCTATGCATTTAACTTGAAGTGTTTTATGGTTTTTTTTGCAGGTCCTGGCAGAATTTAACCAGATCACCAGCTCCAAACTGGGCAATGATTTCGTTGAAGCATTGGATTGCCTAACGACACAGTTCATCAAGCTCTTTAAGGCCAAAAGAGGTCCTGCTGCATTTTGTATCCTAAGATTTTTGATACAATTGTAGATTGTCATTTTACATTTTCCACGTGTTTGTAGATGGTGGAACTGCAGGAAAACCCTGGTGACCGAGAGATCCTTAAAGATTATAATTCTGTGAGATCACTAAGTCACAGCTCTCGAAGACAACTTGTCGACCTTCTCGTCAGTGACATGAGTGAAACACATGGGTATGTTGTATCCCTCAGTTAATACTCAAAAGTTCCTTCTTACAAGTGGAAGGATATTTACTCAAAATAAAATGAAAATCACTTGAAAGACCTTTCACAATAATCACGTAACAATTCAGTTTCTCTCAGCACTGTTATTGATTCCCCATTGTAAGATAAATAGTACTGATCTCTTTTATAAATGACCTAGGTAGATGTTCTCCTGTAGATTATCTCTTGGTTAGGTCCCCGTGAAAATATGTACTTGTAGATACTATTAATTTAGCCTTTTTATGTAACCATGAAGTCCTTTGACCATGAGTGTTTTTCTTTCCTTAGACAAATGCCTTCCCGAAAACAAAAAGAAAGCTATGCTCTTAGAATTATCACACAGAAAATGGATCATTGAAGGATCCATTTTCTCAAAAAGGTTATGTAAGTATTGTTAATGTATCCATGGAAATTGAATTTGGTTTACCTACACGTTTTGTGTAGATAATGGATATGTATAGATAACAATCATAACTGTACACTTTGTTTTCAGACTAATCTCGCCTCATAATGAGACGGTGACCTCCTATTTGCTTAACACAATATCTGCAATACAATGTGAACAATAAGTCCACATTTCCACGATGTTGATAAAGACGACATTGTGTGTAAGTGTTTTACTGTTTCTCCCTTTAACCTGGTTTTAAACATTGTCAGAGAGGAGCTGTCACTTTAGCTGTGCTACAACTGAGGGATTTTATATTTATCTTTGTTAATGTACTGTGATTATTTATTTTAATGCTTTCTTATTTTGCTCAGCACTTCGAGTTGCATTGTGTATGAATTGTGCTAGACAAATAAACTTGCCTTACCATCGTACTTCCTGGTTCTGGTCAGGACTTGAGCTGCTGCATTTTGAATGTACTGCAGCTGTTGTTGCAGTAGTCTAACCTACTGGAGACAAATGCATGGATAAGAATCTCCAGGTCTGCTTTAGACACTATGTTTAGATGGGGAAAAAGGATTTGATTTGGCTAATAATATTTACTGATTCTTTCAGCCGCTGGAATCGAGACCGAGTGTGCTAGAAAGTGACAAAGTGGAACTCTGGAAGTCCGCCACGGTAGACCTAATGTCCAATGAAGAAGAAGGCGTTGTGGACAGTGTCTCTGGGTGGATTGTGCAGTTGCCGTCTTTTCGAAAGCCGGAGTTTTCTGAACTCTGTCAAGCTGCAGTCCTGGTTAGAGGCGGCGCGGAAGTACAGAGCCACGCACATTAAGCGTCTATCTAGAACCCTGCCAAATTACAACCCCGAGGAGGCTATTGGACAGTTCAGAGTTGTAATTTTTTAATTACCTATGTGTGAGCATAAAGCTGTGTGTGTGTGTGTGTTTTAATAAAGCTTTCTTTGTATGAACATATTCCTGGAAAATTTTCATTTCTTCTATAAATAATAATATGAATAAATATATATTTATATAAATATTATTACATTAATTATGAGGCAGGGTGACCAATAGTGACAGATCTGCCAGCCAATCACGAGAGATTATACTTATTTGAAAGTAGTGATTTCATCCAATGGGGAGTAAGCTACCAATGGGGAGTAATCCCACGTGGGCTGGCCACGTGTGATTTTTCAGCCAATCACGAGTTTGAAAGTAGTGGTATTCACCAATGCTGAATAGCAGCCTGGCCAGCCGCTGCATTCATATGCTAATTAGGGCCATTAGCGCTCGACCGGCTGCAGTGTTTCGCTGCATTCATATGCAAAGTAGGGACATTAGCATGGTACGGATGCGGTAGTTTGGAGGACAGGGCACCCTAACTGCGCCTTCTGAAAACTGCCTGAGATACCCGAAAAAGAGCGTGATTTCCTGCAGTTTAGGGTGACGAAAATCTAACTTTTCATGCAGTGTACAAGCCTAAAGCCCCCTCCTGTGCTGACGACCACAAGCTAGCTGACGAACTGAACTTTTTTTTTCAGTCGCTTTGATGCTTCCCCTGTCACCTCCCCCATCCCCCATTACTCCAAAGACCCACCCATCAGCCCTGCCCCCAGCCTGACAATAGCCTCTAAAGACATCAAACAACTCTTCCTGAGGCTGCACCCCCGCAAAGCTCCTCGCCCACACCACATGTCTCCGGCCACTCTGAGAATGTGAGGGTTCATTTAAAAAAAGATGGGAATAATGATGGCTCAGTCGGGAAAATAAATTGTGGTGGTTTTATTTACACACCAAAACAGTGAACAGTGAAAATATTTACAGTGCAGGAGAAAACCAACAGACTCACAACAACAGACAGGACTTACAGCCAGCTCAGTTTGGGTTCAATTCAGGTACAGCTCACTCCAGCTCACTCACAGACTGACAGAACGACTCCCCCAGGAGTGAGCACGCACTCTTTTTAACTAGTTAGCCCCGCCCCTGGGCTAACCCATTACAAATTAACAGGGGGTTTTCTTCTAAACAGATAAAAACATAAAAACAAAGGAATCCTACACATAGTTCCCTCCCTGTTCCTCAGTGTGAACATCCTCTCCATAGCCACATATATCAAGGCAAAACAAAATAGAAAAAGACACATTTTAATACATTTAAGAAATAGAGTCCTCTGGCCCACCACATGCGCGCGCCCTGCGCTATATATGGTGCGACCAGGAAGTGCCTCGGTTTGGCCAGTGGACCGAGACAAGCAGCAGGTGAGTTGTGTATGGGGGAAGATGAGTTGTGTGTGTAGGCAGCAAGTGTGCACCCTTGTGCGCTACGGGGATAATATTGGCAGGGGAAGAGTTTGTGTTGATGCAGGGCCGTGCGGTTACTAGCGCGGACCTGCCAGCATGCCGCGCCACACGCACGCTCCTTTTTTCAGCGCAGGGAGAGAGAGCAGCACACAGTTTATGACGGAGCAGTCACTGGCGCTCCGTCACATTATCCCCCTCCTCCCCGAGGTTGACGATGTGCGGCAACCTGGACAGGTAGTCTGCCACGACATTGGTCTTCCCAGCTCGATGGCGGATCTGGAACTGGAACGGCTGGAGGGAAAGGTACCAGCGGGTGAGACGACTGTTATGGTCCTTCATGGAATTCATCCAAGTCAGCGCCCGGTGGTCCGTCTCGAGGTCGAACTCCCTTCCCAGCAGGTAGCACCGCAGGCTCTCCAGAGCCCACTTGATGGCCAGGCCCTCCTTCTCCACGGTAGAGTACCTGGTCTCTCGCGGCAGCAGCTTCCGGCTCAGGTACCGTACAGGACGTTCTTCTCCAGGGTCCCCTTGAGCCAGGACCACTCCTAGTCCCACGGCAGAAGCGTCAGTCTGGACCAGGAACCGCTGTTCGAAGTCGGGGCTCCGCAGCACCGGCGATGAGCAGAGGCAGGACTTGAGGGCCTGGAAGGCTGTCTCGCAGTCCTCGTTCCAGACAACCGGGTTCCTCTGGTCCTTCATCGTCAGCGCGGTCAGTGGAGCGGCGATGGTGGCGAACTGTGGGACGAACCGATGATACCAGCCGGCCAAGCCCAAGAAGGACCTCACCTCCTTCTTTGTGCGAGGGCGTGGACAGCTGCAGATGGCCTCTACTTTGTCCATCTGTGGTCGGACTTCTCCTCGCCCCAGCCGGTAGCCGAGATGCTTTGCCTCTTCTTTGGCCCACTGACACTTTGACGGGTTAAGTGTCAGTCCCGCCCGCTCTATCTGGCCGAGGACTCTCTCCAGATGACGCCGGTGCTGTTCCCAGGTGTCGCTGAAGATGACCACGTTGTCCAGGTAAGCAGCACTGCAGTCCTCACAGCCCCTGAGCACACGGTCCATCAGTCTCTGGAATGTGGCGGGTGCTCCATGGAGACCGAATGGCATCATGGTGAAATGGAAGAGGCCAGCAGGGGTCTGGAACGCCGTGTAGGGACGACTGGATGCTTCTAGTGGCACCTGCCAGTAACCTTTGCAGAGGTCGAGAACTGCCGCCTCTTTCCACTCCTTCAGCAGATTGACGTGGTAGGTCTGCTTCGCCTTCCTCTTCTCTGGGTGGTGGATCTCATAGGTCACAGGGCCCATCTTCCTGACCACAGAGTATGGCCCCTGCCACTTCGCCAGAAGCTTGTGGTTGGACGATGGCAGGAGTAGTAGGACCTTCTGACCGGGCTGGAACTCTTGATGTCGGGCCTGTTGGTCGTACCACGCCTTCTGGGACCGCTGGGCAGCGCGTAGGTTGACCTCCGTCTCCTCTCGATACTTGGCCAGCCGATCACGCATCTCCAACACAAACTGGAGAATATGGCGATCGCTGGTGGTCGAGGCGGGAGCCTCCCAGGCCTTCAGTAGCAGGTCTAGCGGACCCTGGACATCCCATCCATAGAGCAGCTCGAACGGGGAGAAACCGGCGGATGTTTGGGGTGCCTCTCGGTAGGCGAAGAGCAGGTAGGGTAGCCACTGGTCCCAGTCCCGTCCGGTATCGGCCACGAATTTGTGCAGCATCCTCTTCAGCGTCTGGTTGAACCTCTCGACCAAACCGTCCGTCTGCGGGTGGTACGGGGTGGTCTTGATCGCAGAGATTCCCAGCTGGCGGTGGAAGAGCTGCATCAGGCGGGAGGTGAAGTTGGTCCCCTGGTCTGTCACAATCTCGTCCGGGACACCAACCCTGGAAAACAACTGAACAAGACACCGCAGCATAGCAGGGGCAGTAACGGTGCGCAAGGGGAACGCCTCGGGGAACCGTGTGGCATAATCGCAGAGGACCAGGATGTACTGGTGGCCTCGACTGCTCCGAACTAAGGGCCCTACCATGTCCATTGCTATGCGGCGAAATGGGGATGGAAATGACAGGAATAGGTTGGAGGCTAAGCGTAGATGGGTTTTGTTGTGGCCCAGATGACCAGCCCAAGGCAAGGTGTGTGCCAGGTGCATAATCATTGGCCGGCAGGACACAGGAACCACGAGGCGCTTGACACCGTCTGCCACTGCATACAAAATAGCACTGTCAACAATAAAACAATCCGTGTCCCCCTTTGCCATATCTAGTCCCCCAATCACTTTCGCAAACAGTGATTTTAATGTTGCGTCCGCTCTTTGCAATGCCCCAATGTCCGCCGGAACTTCCCACAAAAAGTCCTGACAGTTTGGCTCTGCCCGCTTTAGCCCTTTCTCGAAGCGCGGCTGCTTGCGACACTTTCTTGGACCCTTTGTTCCCCCTTCAAATAAAGTAGAGTCCAATGTGGAAAATGGCTCAGGTTCAGGCTCTGGTACTCTCTGAACTGGGACTGGCTTAAACCCCTCTTTAGCCTGTGAACGAGTAGTTACCAGTCCAGAAAACCCCCTTCCACAGTCAAACACACACACAAATAGCTGCTACAAGTAACCCTTCTACCACCCCCACAGTCTATAAATAGGGCTGCTCATTGACCACTAGAGTGAGTTCTGCTGTTGGGTAAGAATGTCTGTCACCGTGTACACAGAAAATGTCCTCCTTTCTGCTATAATCCACCTGGCCCGTTGGCACTAAATCCCTCCGAATCAGTGTCATATAGCTCCCAGAGTCAATCAGGGCAGTCACAGGATCTCCATTAATAGAGACTTCTTTGAAGCGCTGACGCCTGCCTACAGCACTTAAGTCCTCTGCACGGGGTGTGTAACATGCGCCAGTCAATTTACCTTTTCTTATTTGGCATACAGAGGCTTTGTGCCCCAACTGCTGGCAATAAAAACACTCAAAGTCCTTACCGGGACCGCGCTGGCTGGCGGCATGGTTGGAGTCTGCAGACTGCTGTGTGTGGACTCTGGCAGAGCTGGTCTGTGCTGGAGTCTGACGTCCGGGACCACCTTGGTAAGGCGCTGGGCCTCCTCTCCGAGCGTTGAGGTACTGCTGCGCTAGTTTAGCCGCCGCTAGGCCCTGTGTCGGCTTGTGCTCCTTCACCCAGGTGCGGATATCTGCGGGGAAAACACGCAGAAGCTGCTCCAGGATGATCTGCTCTCCGATCTGCTCCTTTGTGTGCTGCTCCGGGCGGATCCATCGGCGGTAGAGCCCCTTGAGGCGGTGGTACGTCTCCGCAGGGTTCTCTCCAGCAGGAATCGTCACCGTCCGGAACTTCTGTCTGTAGGTCTCTGGGGATATGTCAAATTTTGTGAGCAAAGCGTCCTTAAGATCCGAATATGTGTGAGCCCGCTCCTCGTCCATAGCGTTGTACGCTTTGAGTGCCTTCCCAGAGAGTAGTGGCACCAAACGACACGCCCACTCACACTCTGGCCAACCCCAGGTTTTGGCAATCCTCTCGAACCGGAGGAGGTAATTTTCAATGTCCTCCCCGGCCAGGTACTGGGGAATCTTTGGGTCCCCGGCGGGTCAACTTTCCGGTCGGGAAAGCACCCTCTCGGATCCCAAACTGGGCCTCTGCGGTTCGGCGGAACTGCGGTGTCTGCGAGGTGCTGGAGTAGGCAGATCCAGTCTCATACTCGTTTCTGTGCCCTCTGATGGCGACCTGGTACAGTCTGGTACTGGAAACGAGTCCCTCAGTCCCCTGAGCTCCGCCAGGAACCGGTCTTCGCGCCGCCTCTGTCCCTCCATGAAAGACTGCATCATGGCGAGCATCTCCTGCGCGCTGGCTTCTCCCGGTCTTGGCTGTTTAAGGGGATGAGCAGTAGAGCCCCCTGCGTCCTCCTCGTCTGTGACCCAGGCTGGGTCATCCTGCACTGTTTCCAGCTTCCCTGAGCGCAGTCCTGTGCGCTTAGTAAAAGTCTTCATACGCCGACTAGCCATCCCACTTCTGACACCAAATGTGAGGGTTCGTTTAAAAAAATGATGGGAATAATGGTGGCTCAGTGGGGAAAATAAATTGTGGTAGTTTTATTTACACACCAAAACAGTGAACAGTGAAAAATATTTACAGTGCAGGAGAAAACCAACAGACTCACAACAACAGACAGGACTTACAGCCAGCTCAGTTTGGGTTCAATTCAGGTACAGCTCACTCCAGCTCACTCACAGATTGACAGAACGACTCCCCTAGGAGTGAGCACGCACTCTTTTTACCTGGTTAGCCCCGCCCCTGGGCTAACCCATTACAAATTAACAGGGGGTTTTCTTCTAAACAGATAAAAACAAAGGAATCCTACACATAGTTCCCTCCCTGTTCCTCAGTGTGAACATCCTCTCCATAGGGAGAGGAAGAGCAGCACACAGTTTATGACGGAGCAGTCACTGGCGCTCCGTCACAGAGACACTGCGCCAGTGAGCTTACTCCTGTGTTCACTGACATTTTCAACTCCTCTCTGCAGTCCTGCCATGTCCCGGCCTGCTTCAAATTCTCCATCATTGTCCCCGTCCCGAAGAAGCCCAGGATCACAGGACTCAATGACTACAGACCTGTAGCACTGACATCTGTCGTCATTAAGTCATTTGAACGATGCAATAAAAATGATTCTGATTCTGATATACAGTTCAGGATTGTTATTTCATGTTTTTCAATAATAGTTGAATAGAGGTTCCAAATGGTGAATTAATGGTGTTAAGGTTCACATAAACGTTTTGACATTAGCTACAGTGTGTTAGCTACATGTATTTAAGAAAAGAGAAGCAAGTAGTCTCAGAGGTGCAGATGTTAAGGAAAATCTTCATAAATCAAAAACCGCATTGCACACTCAAGTAGCCAATTTCCAATTTGACGATAAGAATGATCTGATGCTGCAACGTTATTTCATCCTTGTGCACAGTGCAGAACATGTGGTCACATACACTGTGGTTCTAAGATGAAAAAACAGTGATCTGATGCAGGCAAACGCCGAAACGTTATCATCATCAAAAATTGGACATCGGCTACTTGAGTGTGCAATAATGTTTTTTTTTTAGCCAAATGCATTTACCAGTCGTGACTGATGCTAACTGAGCTAATATTGGTAGGTATTTTTCACGGCTACAGAAGAAACAAAATTAGTCAACCCAGCAACAGTGAATTTATAACATTTGATCCCGAAATCAGAGGAATCAGCCTTCAATGGAACAACTTACCTGATCCAAAATGAAGACTGCAAAGCTGCATGTGTTGAGTTGGAAGCCAAACACCACCATCAGCGTTTTGCCTGTTTATTGCCGCCAACCACTTGTTTCTTCGTTTTGTTTCTTTTGGGATACAGTATAAAGATATTCCTTAAGTCTGATCACGTTTCTGTTCGCATTCAACTGCACAGCATCGCTCCGGCATGATAGTAAAATCTCGCTACCACCGGCGGTTTTGCATTTCTACACCGTCAAAATGGCTGCTCCAAAGGGCGTGACGTCACACGAGACGTCCCTATAGTGTAGATGTACCATTACATTACCACTACCATTACCATGTACATTACAAGAAAGTGCCCAACCATGTCAGCTACCACTATTAAACAAACTACATTGGGTTCTAGACTTTACGTTTTCGTGCAAAATATAGTCAACACAAGGTAAAAAATTTAAGGATGATACTCACCTGTCGATTTAGCACCAAGTTGTAGATCCTGCATCTTCCCGCCACGACTTCACAGGGAAATTGTTAAGCCTAGCCTTGTCCGATTGTGTGTATTTGTGTGTGTTTGGGATGACGTTATGGCAGGCATGTCAAAGTCAAATACATCAGAGGGCCAAAAAAACAAATTTGCTGCGAGCCGAGAGCCGGACTGGTTCAATATTTATTAACTCATTGCTTGCCAGCCTATTTCAGAACAGGTACTCCCATATTTCCAGCAGTTACTGATGATTTTTATTGATTTTTCAAGACCCACAGAATATTGTGTACTATGACTATCTGAAATCCGAAACCAGATTCTGAAAGAATAGACTGTCTACTTTCATCAGCAAAAACAATTTTGTTTCTAGCTTGTAATCCCCAGTTGAGTAGAGGGAAGTTTTACTGAAATCACCAAAAAGCTGAGAAAAAAGAGGCACAACAAGTGCATTTAGCTCTGCATCAAACCATTCAGAGAGCGCTGCTGCCACCTGCTGGTTCGATTCAATATGCTCTCAAGCTTATCCCCATACATATTAGATATAATAGACATCTGGGAACATGAAAATAGCGGAAAACGCAATTGACGGAATAGTGCGTCAATGGCAGGGCCATGTAAAATTAATTTGCGGGCCGGATTTGGCCACACACACAAAAATCAGGTGAGGGGAATATACTGACAGTCTAAAAACTCAAGTAAATAGTATGTTTAGAAGATAAATTATGCCAGATGTATAGTAAACTCAATTTTTTCATATCAGGTAAAAAAAATGAGAGACTGGAAAAACTAAAAAAAGCAACTCTTGAATTAGACTGACACAGGCCATGTCAGTCTAATACAAAAAGTCCACTTAGCCCAGGTGAGATTTCAGGGTATTTGTCAGTGTACCACACACACACACACACACACACACACAGATCTCACAACTCTGGATATGTTGGAGTGCTTTTCTCTCTCCCCTTTTTCCAATTGCTTTCAATAAGTTTTGCCTCATCCATCGCAGCGTCCTCGATGCTTCAATAAATCGTGCTTTGCATAGATCATAGTCACAGCTCATGCACATCACTCACCGCTTCTTCTATTTAAAACAAAGCCTCAAGGGGGGCTGATAAAAGCAGTCAGAGCTGTGCGCTGCTTACGGACGTCTGACGGGCAGCAGCCTACGCACGTAAACGGAGACACGGCCGGTGGAGTCCAGCACTAAAGTTTTGGACTCCACCAGAATAAATGGTAGATTTACAATCAGGAAACAATTATTTAAATTTATTTCTTAAAAATAAATTACACACATTTGTTAATAATCATTGCAATTAACAAACACTTATAACCAAGGACCACAGCATATATTAATACATGTATAATAATGTGGTAAATATATTTAGGCCCGAGCCCCAACCGGGGTTGTAACTGTCATAAGTCCTGCACGCGACGGCACGTGCCCAAGCACTGATAAATCACTGATAAAATGGCTTTGCTCCTGCTGTAGTACACAGTGAAATGATTGAGGTCCTATCAAAGGTGGGTTCTTTCAACTGTCTTACGGACCCCCAAGCCCGACGGTGCGTGACCAGACACTGACAAAACAGTGCACTGAATGGCTTTGCTCCTGCTGTAGTACACTGTACACTGACCTCATGATGGCGAGGTGCGCTCGTCAATCACCGAGAACCCAATAGTTGCGTTCACAACGTATCATTTGTATTATAGGTTACTATGGAAACCTATATTGTTTTTGCTCGAAGTTAAAAAAAAAAATCCTTGGTTTATTTATTTAGGCCCGAGCCCCAAGGCTCCCGAGGCTCAAAGCGCAGGTACACCTGAGGTACTCATGTTCCTCAGGTCAAGACATGAAAAAAAAAGTTATTATGGCTCCGGCCCCTGACAAACAGGGAGCTCATTAATTTCAATGGGAAATGGAAAAATGAAAATTGATATTTTTCACACATGTCGGTTGGAAATTATCTCCTCCTCGGCTGTTTCAGTGCCGGAGGCACTAAATGGCTTTGCTCCTGCTGTAGTACACAGTGTAATGAATGGGGTCCTATGGGGGGAGGTGGGTGACCTCATGATGGCGAGGTGATTGACGAGCGCGTCAGCGAGAACCCAATAGTTGCGTTCGCCTAGTCGTTCGCTTTAAAACCACGTATCATTTGTATTATAGGTTACTATGGAAACCTATATTGTTTTTGCTCGAAGTTTTAAAAAAAAATTCCTTGGTTTATTAGGCCCGAGCCCCAACCGGGGTAAGGGCCTATTGCTTTTCCAACGAGTAATGCCTGGGCGAAGCGCTCGTCAATCACCGAGAACCCAATAGTTGCGTTCGCCTCGTCGTTCGCTTTAAAACGACGTATCATTTGTATTATAGGTTACTATGGAAACCTATATTGTTTTTGCTCGAAGATTTAAAAAAAAAATTCCTTATTTATTTTTTCTTCTGCGCTTTGAACCTTAATTTGATCCCCTGAACATTGATGAAAAGTTGTGAAATTTGCCCAAAATTCAGAACTGGCGAAAAAAAAAAACATTTTGTGTTTATTTTTATGGGACAAAAAAAATGCCCGAACAGCGCCCCCTACAAAAGTCAGTTTACATTGCGCCTATGGGAGCGGTTCGGAGGTCAAGTTTGTCGT